TCTTACGTTTTGCACCCTATGCAGTTTCTGTCACAGATACTCAACTCTGCCATTGTGGTGTAGAAGGACCCACAGACTGTAAACAAATGAGCGTGGCTGTGTTCCAATAAAGCTTTGTTTAGAAAACAAACAGAGGGCCCATGTTAGCCCACTGGCCCAAGTATGTCTACCATGGTCTTAACTGCTGTATTAAGAGAATGAGGACCCAGAAGCATCAAAGTTCTCTGAGAAATAAAAAGATCATAATTGCGAGCAAAACGTGAGACAATTGTCTGGCCTTTTCAATGTGAAACAGCATACAACTTGTTCAGTGTTAGTGCCATATTATTTATTAAAGGCATACTGTGTGGGGCACCTGGGTGACTCAGTTGGTTATGCGTCTGACTTCAGCTCAGGTCGTGATCTCACAGTTCGTGGGTTCAAGCCCTGTGTCAGGCTCTGTGCTGACAGCTCAGAGCCTGGAGCCTGCTTCGGATTCTGTGTCTCCCTCTCTGTCTGCCTCTCCCCTGTTCATGCTCTGTCTCCCTCTGTCTCTCAAAAATGAGTAAATGTTAAAAAAGAAATTTTTTTTTAAGGCATACTGTATACCAGGCCCATAAAGTGCTTGGAATACACTAATGAACAGAATAGACAGGAAACAGCTCCCTTGTATGAGCTTATCTTCCAGCAGGGTTCGGTGGGGGAGCTGATGAATAATACCCATAACACACAGCTGAATTATACAATGTATTAACAGATGATGAGCGCTGGGAAGAAATAGAGCATGGTAAGGGGAGTGTGATAGCAGGAAAGGAAAGAATAGGATGATGAGTATTGGTCTCACGGAGAAGGTGATATTTTAGCAAAGGCTTTAAGGATGTAAGGGAGTGAGCCACGCTCATATCTTGAAGTTCCCAGGCAGAGACAATAGCCGGTGGAAAGGCCCTGAGGCAGGACTGTGCCGGGCTTGTTCAAGAAAGAGCATGAGGTCCATGGGCTTGAGTTACTGCATGGTGTGATCAAAGAACATGGTCAAGAGTTAATGACAGCCTGGTTTTGTGGGGCCCGGGAGCATGGCAGAGACTTGCCTCTTACTCTCAGAGACTCAGGGACCAGAAGAGCTACATGATCTGAGGCCGACTGAGGAAGGCTCCCTCTGACTGCCGTGTTGTATCCTGTGGTCAACAGCTTTAGATTTAGCTTTCCTGGATTTGGTTCTGACCAATACTAATGATTGGTTTCGTATCAGGCAACATAATTAACCTTTCTGTACTTGGTTTCCACATCCATGAAACAGAGATAATAATAGCATTTACAACACAGGGCAGTTATGAGCATAAAATGGGAAAGTTCTCATGAAATAGAAAAAAAAACCCACTACACATAATTCTAGGGACATAGTGAACACCAAATGGATACTGGTCATTTTAAATTATTGTGAAATGTATCTTCCTAATAAAAAATTACTGTTTTACTATAATAAACTGCTTGTGAATGTGTGCTTACACGCTGATACAGGTGTGTCCCTTGTGCTGTTTGATTCCTCATCTCCACAGCAAGAGCGGGAACCATACCCCACTCCGGGGCACTGCCAATCTCACAAAGGTGGTGAGAATCACCATGGGGAAGCATTACCCCTCTGCAGACTGGGACAGCTTCTGGGGCAACCTCCATGGCCATATAAAGTCCATGAAGACTTGAGATGTTTCCTAAGAAGGGAAGACACCCACTGAAGACTGAGGAGAATGAAAAGAGAACAGGAGCAGAAATGCCCCATAGTGATGGCAAAGTGTATTCGTTACCTATTGCTGTGTAACAAAGCATTCCAAGCCTTAGCCGCGGCTTCAAACAGCAAGCATTATTCCACAGAGGTTCTCAGAATCTGGAATCAGAAGAGTGGCATTATCTGGGTCTGGCTCAGGGCTCCTCATGAAGCTGCAGTCAAGATGTCATCAGGGCTGCCTCATCCGAAGGCTGGAATGAAGATGTGGGGCCTGTTTCTAAGATTGCTCACACATAGCTGTTGTCAGGAGGCCTCAGTTCTCCACCTCGTGGGCCTCTCCACAGGCTGCTGGAGTGTCCTCCTCACCTGGCAGCTGGCTCCCCCCAGGGGTGAGAGCCAAGAAAGATCAGGAAGAAGCTACAACACCTTTTGTGATCTAGCCTCAGATGTGACAAGTCACTTCTACCAGGTAGTAGATTCTTTGGAAGCAAGTGACTAAGTCCAGCCCACACTTGAAGGAAAATTAAGCTCCACCTCTTAAATGGTAGAGTATTAAAGAATTTGTGGACAGATTTTAAAACCACCATACGTGATGTGTGACTTGGGGCGAAATAACATTGTCTTAAGTATTACCAGTTTAGTTTTCAACAAGTCCAAAATATAACTCTCATACAAACACAAAGTGGGCATGTGCCAAAGATTTACCATTGTTAATAAATGAAGGAACCAGCAGGACGATGAAACTGATTCAAAAGATACGATCAGTCAGGAAAGAAGTGGTGGAATGGGTTAGCTGACTTAGATTAAGAAAAACAAAAACAAAACCCTGCTTAATGAATTGCAAGGCAATAAAACTGCACCCTTTGGATGCTATATTTTTTATTAGGCAGAAATGATTTGCAATTTATCTCTCTCTTCTTAGTTCACATCTAATTTTGCAGAATCTGGTATCTACTCCACCATCCTAAGTCAAGCCAAGGCATCCGTTTCCTAGAGAATTGAGTAACCACTGGTGGAGCCTGTTCCATGATGTTCCAATGCAACATTGAAAGCACATGTGGTCACCATTTTGTCTTTTTTCAAGATTGAAGAACTTAACTTTTTTTTTCTAAATTTTTTTAGCGTTTATTCATTTTTGAGAGATAGAGACAGACAGAGTATGGGCAGGGGAGGGGAAGAGACAGAGGGAGACACAGAATTTGAAGCAGGCTCCAGACTCCGAGCTGTCAGCACAGAGCCTGCCACGGAGCTGGAACTCACAAATCGAGAGATCGTGACCTGAGCCGAAGTCAGACATTTAACCGACTGAGCCATTCAGGTGCCCCAAGAACTTAACTTCCTTAATGAGGGCTCGTTTTGTTTTGTTTCATTCATTCATTTATTTATTTATTTATTTATTTATTTATTTATTTATTTATTTACTTATTTATATTTTCACCATCTTAGCTCCTTCATTCACCTCTCCATCCATTTGTCCTGTACCCATCACCATGAAACACATTGCGGAGCAAACACAGCTGGCAGAAACATCCCCCTGCACCCTCAGCAAGTCGCCCCATCTGGAGGGGGACAGCCATGCATTGGCATCATTTCATGTTAGTCAGAATGAGGACAGAGCTTTTGAAGCCCCACACACGTGTCCTGTGGGCACGTGGGTGCAATTCACTGGGGTTAGAGGATCAGAGCCCAGGGAGGTTGGTGTTTTACTTTTTTGGGTGAAACAATATGTACTTCTCTATAATCACTTTACAAATGAAAGCCTGTCTGCTTAAACCCATTTTGCTGATAGGACAACACCTTCTGGAGTTTCCTTTTGGTTTTGTTCTTTTTTGCAATTATTTCAGTGTCATTTCCATTTGGTCCATTTAATGATTTTAAAATGTTTTGGCAGGTGTTTTTCACATTAGAATAACTTGATATTTTATTTATTCCTGAATGCTGTAAGGGTTTTTTAGTCTATAAGCTGGAACGCAATTTCTTTAACATTGATACCTGAACAATAAATTGCTATCAATGGCACTCAAGATATAATTAAATTGTTATTATGCACTGCCCTCTACCTTTAATTCAGATCCATCACAGAGAATGTATGGAGGTGTTGAAACTGCATGAATTGTTATCCAATCACATTTTATTTTGCCAGTCAGGTACTGGAGAAAGGTCAGTCACAGATGGCATGAGCTAGATTTTACTTTCTGAGGAAATAATCAAACGCATGAGCGAAGATGTTGATGCAAAAAATTTGTCACATGATTTTCAAGCAAATAATAATAAACTAATAATAATTCATTGCTATAAATAAATGATGCTGCATCTATATAATGAAATGTATTCAGCTATTCAATGTTGCATCATTCATATTTGGTATGGAAAGATATTCTGCTATTTGCTATTTTTTCATAGAAAAAAGCAAATTGCAAATCTAGTGTAGGTTTCTGTGAAACACTGTTGACAGTTACGTGTGTATGTATGCAGAGGAAAACTGTTTTCATTGGCTTTCTGGTGGCACACTCACAGAACACAAGTATTCACTTTTTTTTTTTTCCTGATCTGGATTTTCAGGTTTTTCTACAGTGAACATGTAGACTAAACATTGCCTACACAGGAAAACCCCACCTCCAGCATTTTCCATAGGCTTGGCAAAGTCAGGAAGGGAGGAGGGAAGGAAGGAAGGAAGGAAGGAAGGAAGGAAGGAAGGAAGGAAGGAAGGAAGGGGGAGGAAGGGGGGTTTGTTCTAAAATCTGCTTGCCTGGGGGGCTATCTGCACTGCAGTCTTTGGGTCTGGAAGCACTTGAAGTCCAGGAGCTGAGTGCTGGGAAGCGCTGGAAAGCTTCAGGGAAGTTCCTCAGAATTGCTAAAAGAAGATTATCTCCAGAACCTTCCTTCCCTGGGAGAGGTAAGGAACAGCAGGTGTTTCTGGAGGCTTCGGGTGGTGTGAAATACCTGGGAAACCCCGCTCCTCCTCAGCTTGTGGCAGTTTCAGGGGCTCCTCCCTAGCGCATTATTAAAAGGGCTGTGGCACCTCGGAGGAGTAGGAAGATACCGCGGGCTCTGCCGGGAGAAAGGAGCATTCTGAGGTGTCCTTTGGGGAGCTGGGCTTCATTCTCCCCAGCAGGGCCAAGGCTCTCTCCTGACCCCAGACCTGGAATCCCCTGCTCTGGGGGGGGATGTTCCCATGCTGAGGGGGTGGGGTCAGAACGCTGCTTGCTACCCAGGCCCCTGCCAGCTCAACCTCTATTTCCACCTAAGATTTTGTGTTATTTCAAAACAGGAGAGTCTACACACTGTGAAACTCAAGATGGTCCTGAGTGGGGCGCTGTGCTTTCGGTGAGTATCTGAGCCTCTGATGGGCTGTGTCCTCTGGGGAGAAGTTAAGCTCCAGGTAGACCTGTTGTCCGTCCTTTCTGCTTAGGGAGGGGCTGTGGCTGCTCAGAGCGCAGGTGGGTGGGCAGCTGGGCAGTTATGAACAGCCCCTCACTGTCCTAAGGAAAGTTTTTCCAGCCTTCATCAGGCTGAGGCTGGCCACCTCATGGCGGTTCCCTGATGAGAAGGGAAGCAAGTGAATCACCCTGTGTCGAGCTGCAGCTTCATGTATCCATAATGAGGATGGAAGTCGGGAGACCCAGCTTGGAGCTGTTACCACCCACTGGGGTGAATATTAATGTCCATCCAGCGGCTCGGCTCTGCTACATCCTTGCTGCCCTTTGGGGCAAAACTAGTCAGTCTGTCTGTCTCCTGGCATGTACTGAGCCAGGCAGTCCGCCGTGTTCTGGACTTTGCACTAATGAGCAAAAATGGTCCCTGCTCTCTCTGAACCGAGAGTCTACTATAGCTTTTCGCAAGGTGTGTTCAGTGGAACCCCAATCCTATGAGCTGCTTGATACAGTGGTGATCAAGAAATGTGGGAAATATTGCTTTCTACGTCTCCGCATAAGAGAACCATGGTGTAATTCCGCATGTTAGCAACTCTGAAGTACAGATTTGTTTATGTTTAGCTACCATTGAACCAGTTTGCACGCAGCGTGCTTGTTTCCATATAATATCTGAAGAAACTCACTTTGGGATGTATCTTTTCACCTCATAGGATGTTGGAAAATCAACTGAGATCAGAGATGAAAAATAAATTCTTTCATTTCAAAAATGAAATTCTTTCATTTCAAATTTAAAGATATCCCACAATTAATAAGTGGAAGTAAATGTGCCTTGACGTCTTCAATAATGACTGAAGAATCAGATTTTCATCTGGGAAAGGCCTGGGCGTTATCTAACCCATTGTCTTAATTTAGCAGTGGGGAGCCTCAGGCCCAGAGTGGTCAAGTGACTTGTCTGTTGTGATCTGGAAATAATGGTGGCGAGCCAGACAAGCACCCAGGACTCTGACTCACAGTCCAGTTTCTTTTCCAACATCACCCATGGAGGAGATTGGTTGGTGTAGCAAAGATTGAATGGGGTGGAGGAGCAAATCCAAGACTCAGGTGCAGTCCCATTGTTGTTGGAGTCCAGTTGTTGTCCCATTGGTAGGGTATGAGCCCAGCAGGGCTGGGAAGAAGGTTGGACTGTTGCTCCTGGCAGAGGAGAGGGAGACAGTGGGACTCTGTAGAGCCCAGCAAGCCGGAGCACCCACTCCTCCCCTAACTAAGTGTCATCCTGTCCTGATGTTTCAGGATGAAGGATGCAGAATTGAAGGTGCTTTATCTGCATGATAACCAGCTTCTAGCTGGAAGGCTGCATGCAGGGAACATCATCCAAGGTTGGTGGCAAAACACGACACCACTTCCCTAGACACTCTGAGGGGACGGGGCCTGAAGAGGGCTTAGAACAGGCATGCAAACTGGCACAGACCTACAGAGCCCAGGCCTGACACAGTGGGTGGGGCATCATAAAAGCAGACCCTGAACAAGGACAAATAAACTACAGTATCTTCCAGCAAAGTGAGGACACATGCCCCAACGCCACCTGAGGCCTCTATGCACAGATGGGGAATATTTCCAAGATGAATGCTTTGTCCTTCCCTCAGAGGTGGACTTAGACCAAACATTTCTTTTCCTGGGATCCAGTGCTGAGGAGAGATCTAAAACAGGCTCTCTAGGCCTTTATTCCCATGTGGGAGTGGTTTTCTGCCCTTTACCCTGGGTCCCCTCTGCTCTCTGGGGATTCCTGGTCACTCAGAGTGGTGGGACCCAGGTGGCTGGTGGGCTTACTCCTTCTGCCCCGTACACTGTGGCAGGTCTTCTCTCTAGAACAGCACATACCTGGCCACTTGGGACACTTGTATAGGCTGTGTGCGTGTGCGTGCACGTGTGCATGCTTGCATGTGTGTATATGTGAGTGCATGTGTGCATGTGTTTGTATGAGTGGTGGGGGATGGTACAGAGAAGAATGATACCCTCTTCTGGTCTCAGGAATCTCACAGGTGGTAGAACATATCCAAATAACCCTGATGAGAGGCTTATCCAATCGAGTTTCCGAAAAGAGGCCAGAGGGTCAAGCGGCATTAAAGGAAGTGGTCAAATCTTCCTGGGGACTAGAGAAGACTTGAAAATTTGAGCCTGGACCAGGGGGTGGGCATGGGGTGGGAGGTGGTACAATGTGCTTATGTCCCTTGATGTCACTGGGCCAACTGACGGGAGACCACCCTTCCCTAGGTGACAGCTGCTAACAGGCTTCCCTTCTCAGTCTGGGGACAGGAGGTCTCACACAGGTCCTGCTCTCCAAAGTCCATGATGCAGGGAGAGAGAGGGAAGGGCAGTCAAGGCCTCTACATCTGACTTCCTTTCTCTAGGCGAGGAGATCAGTGTTGTCCCCAATCGGTCTCTGGATGCCAAGCTCTCTCCAGTCATCCTGGGTGTCCAGGGAGGGAGCCAGTGCCTGTCATGTGGGACGGGGCAGGAACCGACTCTGAAACTAGAGGTGAGTCCTGTTGGGACATCCTTGCTATCTGATCTCACAAAGCCAGCAGATGCTGAAGCCACTGAGCTGGGTGTCCTGGGGCCCAAGCTCCTCTCCCTTGTGGGGGTTCTGTTGATTGCAGCCCTGCCTCTCCGTGCTCCCGGCCCAGCTCTCCTGCCTCCCCCACTCCTTTCCCCTCACCTGCCATGCCCTTCTGCTCACAGCCAGTAAATATCATGGAGCTCTACCTCGGTGCCAAGGAATCCAAGAGCTTCACTTTCTACCGGCGAGACACAGGGCTCACCTCCAGCTTCGAGTCAGCTGCCTACCCAGGCTGGTTCCTCTGCACTGTGCCGGAAGCAGACCAGCCTCTCAGACTCACCCAACTCTCAGAGGATGCCAGCTGGGACAGCCCCATCACGGACTTCTACTTCCAGCAGTGTGACTAGGGCAATGTGCCCCCAGAACGCCCTGGGCAGAGCCAGCTCAGGCAGGGGTGAAGGTGGAAGAGGACACTGATGGCAGCCACCCCCTCTGCTCTCAGGGACCCCACCTCTGGCTGCGCCTTTGGCCACTCTCCCTTTTGGTTCCCAGTTTGGGTGAATTCTTTTGCGATTCGGGGCTTAGGCCACAGTTTCTTTCCCTGTTGGGTGCTGCTGCTCTCGTGGCACCTTGCAAAAACCATATGAGATGAACTGGGAGTCACATAAAAAGGTTCCTTATGGGTCAGGGTGCAGGGAGTGGTAGAAATCCTTCATGCTTTATGGTAACTCAGCCAGTACCCCTGAGCCCACAGGGCAGCCCATCCCAGTTGAGCCTGTTAGGGCCACTAGCTGACCACATGAGGTCCTTTCGTGCACCACTGTGCAGGAGAGGGAGGTCATAGAGTTAGGGGCACAAGGCCCAGCCCCTTCCCTCTTCCCTTTAACTCAGCTGCCATTGTATGCTATTTTTTCCATCCTATCCTTGTGCTCTAGCCGTGGCAGGAGAGGGTGGTGGTGTGTGAGGAAGTGGCTCCAGCTCAGAAGACTGAAGAATGGCCAGGCAGGCATGTCATACATTCTGAGACCCGAGACACCATTAAAATCCAAGGTGCTGGTGTCCACTCACATGGAAAGATCCTCACGACGTATTAAGTAAGGAGAGCAAATTACAAAGTCGCATATCCTATAATTTCATTTTAATTAAAAAAAATGCCTATCCATATATTTCTGCATAGAAAAAAGTCTGTAAGAGTTTCCTTCGATTTGAGCAACGTCGGAGTGGTGGTATCACAGGTGGTTTTTCTTTTTGTTCTTTTATTTATTTGCATTTTCTAATTGTTCTACAATGAAGATGGATTCCTTGTGTAATAAGTAAGTTAACCTTGAGGAAAACAGAGCAGACAGTATTTCTGATGGTCCTCCGCATCCACTTCCTTGAGTAAAATTCATGTTGAATTAAGATCTGCTGCTCTGAGCAGCAGTAGTGAGAATGAGAAAACAGACCTCAACAGAGCTGCCAAGAAAAAGCATATGATGGGTTAGTTAGTGTGGTTGGAATCTCCCGGAGAAGGAATTTACAGAAAGAACCATCCTGGACCTGGAGTGGTCACAACTCCCTGAGATTTCAAGGTGTGGGTTTCAGCCTCCAAAGGGACCTGTGCTGGTTGAATAGTGTTCCCCCCAGATTCATGTCCTCTGGGAACCTTAGACCATGACCTTATTTGGAGTTGGGTTCTTTGCAGATGCAATTAGTCAAGAGGTCATGTTGTATTGGGGGAGGGGGGCGGCACGCTCTAAATCCAACACGGCTGGTATCCTTGCAAGAAGAGGAAAGGACAAACAGAGACCCAGAGGAGACCCAGGAAGAAGGCCATGTGAAGATGGAGGCTGAGATTGCCCTCATACAGCAGTAAGGCAAGAAATGCCATGACTGAGGCAATCACCAGAAGTGAGGAAGAGGCAAAGAAGAATTCTTTCCAAACCCTTCAGAAGGAGTATGGCTCTCTAGTCTCCTGAACTGTGAGAGAACAAATTTTTGTTGCTTTAAACCACCAACTTTGTGGGGATTGGTTGTGGCAGCCCTATGAATTAACACAGCTGCCGATGACCCCATCTCACAGTGTGTGTGTCCCCTCCCACATTGTACCCACGTTGTCTCTGTGACCAACAGAACATGGCAGGAATAATACTATGCCATTTCTGAGATTTGGTTATAAAAGACTGTAGGTTTTATCTTGTTTTCTCTCTCTGTTTCTTTGTTCACTTGCTCTGGGGGGAAGTTAGCTGCCATGGCATAAGCAGCTCTGTAGAGAAACCCATGTGTTGAAAAATGAAGCCTCTTACCAACTGCCACATGAGTGCATTTGGAAGCAGCTCCCCCAGCCCCAGTCAGGCCTTCAGATGAGGTGACCCTGGGGACAGCTTGACTGCCACCTCAGGAGAGACTCTGAAGCAGAACCACCTGGCTAAGCTGGTCTCGATTCCCAAACCCCCAGAAACTGTGCGAGAAAATACGTGTTTGTTGCTTTCAGTTGCTAAGTTTCAGGGTCACTAGTTACACAGCAATAGATAACTAATACACAGGAAAGAGAAATAAACACATTTCTTTTATTATGATTGTAATTTTCTCCAGTATTTTCATTTTCCTTCTCAAAATCAACATCGGCCCTTTAATTTCCCCCAACATTCTACGTAAAAACTGATCATGCTAAATATGCTGAATAGTCTCTGTTCCTGCAAGGTTTAGCTCCTCCTTGATTACCTTCACACCTCTAGTTCTACATGCCAGGGACTGTGACTCCAGCGTCCCTACCTAAACTCTGGGAGATGAAAACAGAAGCCAGAGGAGAGGCTCAAATCTGAGTCCCAGGGATTCTGCCTGCACCTCACCAGTCAGACCAGCCTGGCAGGTTCAGATTCTGCTGAGGCACTAGTAAGGAGGTGGCCAGGCCGGAAGCCTCTGTCTCCGTGGAGCGGCTGAGACCCCGATGTAGCTGAAGGTCTCGGGTAGCAGACAGCACAAGTGCCTCCAGAGGCCTCTCAGGAGGGCCGAGAACACGGGCTCTGGGCACCAGGCTTGCTTCTGCAGACCTAGTTCACACTCTGTCTTTGCTCACAGACCCAGCCATACTCTCACCTTGTCTCCTCCTCCGAGAAGCCTTTGCTGAATTGAGGCGTCTGGTCATCTGCTCTGACTGTGCTACATTGCTATGTTAACTTCCCCTCGTTGTAAGAATTGATTTGCCGTCTGTGGCCCCTGAAGTGACCTCAAGGTCAAGGCTGTATCCGTTTGTTTCCAAGCACCTCAAATAATGTTTGACAAATAATTGGAAACCCGTGAATACAGACAGTGGAAACTATTCCTCCACCCTGGAATATTTCTTCTCTCTTCTCCACCCATCTAAATGGGCCCACCCTTCAAGAAGCAGCCGAAATTCTGCCTCACTCTGGAAGCTTTCTCCAGCCTGCAGTGATTGCTTCATCATCTGTAGGATGATAGAATTCAAAATGGCGTTAGCAAGGATGAGCTGACATGAGTCAACAGAAAAGGAAGGAATGTAAAATGCTACCTTAGAAGTGTTTGGGATGGGGGACCCTGGCATCACGACTGTTTATATGAAAAAGATACAGTGGTTTTAGATTTCTTCAATTTCAGTATAAGCACCCTGTTTGACCTGTATTTACAGAGGTGTAATGCCCACATCACATGGAGTTTGTGTCGGTTGTAGGCATTGAGGACTGAGTGGGTCCTGAATAGTAGAGAGTGTCCCAAGAGCAAGTCACAAGGGCAGAGGCTAGGAAGCTGAGGGTCTTTATCCTGGAGAAGCAGTACACAGAGAGCTCCATTCAAGCACTCAGAGCTCTGCCTACTAGAAAAATAAACTTGTCCTGTGTAATTCCAGGAGGTACAAGCAGGACCGATTGATAGAAATTATGTGTGACCCAAAAATTTTAACCGCAAAGACCACACATGTTGTTAGGGTTTCTTTAAGAGGTTGTGGAGGTGTTGAAGCAAAGCCTGATTAACTATGTCCCAGGGATGCCATAGCACAGGTCTCTCCATTTAGAGGGAACCTATATGCCATGTATAAGTCATAAAAAGAATTCTAGGAATTTTTTTACTCGAGGAGTTTCTCTGCATCTATTGTTTCCAATATGCCCTTGTTCTGCAGATTAGAGAGTCTGGTCTCCTTAATGATCTTTTTAAGTGTTTATGACTTAGCTCCCCAGCTGGACTGTGAAGCTGCCTAACAACAGGGACTATGTATTGCACATCTTTGTCACACAGCAGTGTAAATGCTCAGTAAATGCCCATTGATTGCCTGGCATAATACCCCATGCTTTGGGCCTTTCCACGGAGAGAGAAGAGACTGGGAGAGGGGTGAAGAATGACTGTCAGCCTTAGGAAACACAAATTGGGTCCCTTCCCTGCCCATCTTTTCTTGTCTCTCCCTCTTCAGACATCTGCATGTGGGTTGGCCTCTCCTACCTCCTTACCAAGCCCTTTGTGGAACTGTGCAAATGACATAATAGTGAGTATTACAGTAAGGCATATGGTCCCCAGAGAATGCTATGCCAAGCTTCTCTACCCCTTGTGAGTAGATGAATGGATGGCTGGGTGGATGGCTGGATGGACAAATGGGTGAATAGATGGACTGAGTTAAGTAATATCAATTAGATGCTTGACTATTCTTTACCCCTGCCCTGTTCCCACTGTGCCATGTGTCCTAGCAGTCCAGGGCACATGGTGGCTGCCCAGTCCCAGGATGGGTCTAAGGTCCATGTCCTCTGTAGGTAGGTTTCCTCAGATGCTCTGTCTCATCAGCCTAATACTAGCTAATAGGACCTGTTGAAAAGCAGAGACTTCCCTCCCCTCTTTCCAAACAGGGCCATCTTTGCAATGCCATCAGTCCTCTCTCTCATGTTGCCTCACTGGCCACAGCCTGGCTTAAAACACTAAAGGTCACTCTGTCTTTGGGCCCCTCAGACCCATTCACTCTTGTCTTTTCTATCCCTCTAAGTCTAGGATGGAGCCCCATGGGGCACCAAAGGGAAGGTGACATGAAGACATCTGACCCCAAGGCTGTTTATATGGCTACTGAAAGCACCAATAACAGTGTCAATGACAGTAGCTATGAGCAGGGGCCCAGTGCCTGGCTTCTGCCAGGGCTTTATGGGTGACTCTCTCCCCCTTCAACAAACACTCATTAATGCCCCCACCTTCTTATTATCCATACTGTGCTAAAGACATTGTGAAATCCCTAGGCTCTTCTTCCCCATCCTGGAACCAATTATAAAGATTGCTGCAGGCTTGACCCACCCTGACCCGACAGTATAAACTCAGGGCAAATGCCCGGGAGAAATCATTCGGACCTTTCAGGCACCCAGGATTGAAGGTCAGTGGTTGGTAGGCAGTATTCTATCTCTCTTTCTCACTTTCCTTCTCCTTTCTGTTAATATCTCTG